GAGGGTGATGGTCCCCACAACCCCATTCCAGAGGGTGATGGTCTCCATAACTCCATTCCAGAGGGTGATGGTCTCCATAACTGTGCCCTCTCCCCAAAGACAAATTACCACTTATTCATTTTACAGCCACATAGGATCCATAAAGAGGATCCATAAACGATGACAACTTTAAGGATTTGGTGGATTGGGGTGAATCGAGCAGAGGAAGGTCAAACGATTTAGCTGCCACGTGAGGCGTGAGCAAAGGAGTGTCTTCTTTGGCATGAGCCAGCTTCACGTGGCCCCGATCACGGGTGCCAAATACACAGGGGCGTGGACATGCTATATAGCAGGGGTATTCAACTCTTACCCTACTGGTTCTGTTCTACCTGATAATGAATTGCACCCACCTAGTGTCCCAGGTCTAAATCAGGCACTGATTATAGGGGGACAATGCATAAAAGCAGTGGAACTGGAATCGAGGTCCAGAGTGTAGTTGTAAGGCATAGGATGTCTCCTACTATATATAGCACATTTGTATTCAGGACACATCCTATTGGCTGAGACAAGGCTTGCTGCTGGCTGTGTGTCAAAGGATCCAATGTGTCATACAAGAAGATCCCTGCGTCTTATCTTCCCTGTATGTTCCCCCTCAATGCACAGGTTTCTCATCATTGATCATTCCCACTTCATGAAAAATGAAACAGTACATGGGAAGAATAATATGAGAAACCAAAAACAGGACATAAGCATTACACATCTCCCAGAGATACTGTATATATGTTTAATGTTAAACATGTTGTCAAAATATGTACAACTGCAAAAATAAACATTTACTTCCTACTATAGCAATATAGCATTTCATTTGGCTGTAAGCTATAGTCCATACTGTACAATACAGCAACAAGAGAACATGAGATGATTGACAGTTTAAAGAGCGAGATTAAAATAGTAGTACCAAATCTAATCAAAACAAACATTCGATAGCTCGCCACAGCATCAGCTAAACATAGAAATCCAGTCCAGCGGCTACGAATTTGAACTCCACGTGTTATAATAAGTGAAACCCTATAGGCTTAGTGTCATGGAAGTGTTATAAAGTGCCTTATCGGGTTGCCAGAGGGGGGCATGCCATATAGTCTGTCCCGGGTTGGATAACGGGATGGGCTCCTCTCTAACATCGAACATAAACACCCCCCTCCCCCACCCTCCTTCCCCCTCCGCGTGTCTCTGAGTGCCAAACTATCGCAAGCTATCCTGCACCCTTGTGATGACTGTTTACATCCCTGACATTCTAGGCCAGGACGGTTTACAAGAGAGAGTAGGGAGAGGGGGAGAGGGGAAGGAAGAGAGCTCTATCTATGCGTTTGAGCCAATCAGTTGTGTTGTGACAAGGTAGGGGTGGTATACAGAAGATAGCCCTATTTGGTAAAAGACCAAGTCCATATTATGGCAAGAACAGCTCAAATAAGCAAAGAGAAAAGACAGTCGCAAAAACCATCAAGCGCTATGATGAAACTGGCTCCCATGAGGACCGCCACAGGAATGGAAGACCCAGAGTTACCTCTGCTGCAGAGGATAAGTTCATTAGAGTTAACTGCACCTCAGATTGCAGCCCAAATAAATGCTTCACAGAGTTCAAGTAACAGACACATCTCAACATTAACTGTTCAGAGGAGACTGTGTGAGTCAGGCCTTCATGGTCGAATTGCTGCAAAGAAACCACTACTAAAGGACACCAATAAGAAGAAGAGACTTGCTTTGGCCAAGAAACACGAGCAATCTGTCCTTTGGTCTGATGAGTCCAAATTTGCGATTTTTGGTTCCAACCGGTGTGTCTTTGTGAGACACAGAGTAGGTGAACGGATGATCTCCGCATGTGTGGTTCCCACCGTGAAGCATGGAGGAGGAGGTGTGATGGTGCTTTGCTGGATTTATTTAGAATTCAAGGCACACTTAACCACCATGGTTACCAAAGGATTCTGCAGCAATACGACATCCCATCTGGTTTGCACCTATCATTTGTTTTTCAACAGGACAATGACCCAAAACACACCTCCAGGCTGTGTAAGGGCTATTTGACCAAGAAGGAGAGTGATGGAGTGCTGCATCAGATGACCTGGCCTCCACAATCACCCGACCTCAACCCAATTGAGATGGTTTGGGATGAGTTGGACCGCAGAGTGAAGGAAAAGCAGCCAACAAGTGCTCAGCATATGTGGGAACTCCTTCAAGACTGTTGGAAAAGCATTCCTCATGAAAAGGGTTGAGAGAATGCCAAGAGTGTGCAAAGCTGTCATCAAGGGAAAGGGTCGCTACTTTGAAGAATCTAAAATATATTTTGATTTGTTTAACACTTTTTTGGTTACTACATGAGTCCATATGTGTTATTTCATAGTTTTGATGTCTTCACTATTATTCTAAAATGTAGAAAACTGTAAAAATAAAGAAAAACCCTTGAATGAGTAGGTGTGTCCAAACTTTTGACTGGTACTGTATGTATCAGTGTTCCATCTCTATGTATGTCTTATTCAGAAGGTCTGGAAGGATGAAGGAGAAAGCAATAAACAACTGATGTTGTAGATTTTTGTGAATTTTTAGCGAAGTCAATCCCCCTGACAACTAGGAGATCTGTTCAGCTTGACTGCTGTGGCTCACTCACACTCTGTTCCACGACTGACACACACACTCTGTTCCACGACTGACACACACAGTCAGCCAGAGGACGGTGAGGTGATCGTACCATGTCAGTGGCTCTCTCCCCAGGTCCCCGAGGGGAACCTCAGGAGAAAGGGGCTTCCTGGCTGCATGGGGGCAGTGTCACGTGCATCCCTACCCTGCACCGTCCACGCCTCAGTCTCACTACTACCTTCTAAACCCCAGTCATTAGCTACAAGCCAGGGGAGACTTTCCCATTCTAGTCCAGCAGTACAGGGGATGAGTCCATTGTTAAAACTAAATTGGTTGTGCCAGAGAGATCAGCTGACAGGGCCTTAAAGAAGCCAAGGCATCAGGAACTTTGCCAAATGGTTAACAAATACAGCCCTGGCTTAAAGCGCCGAGGACAGGCCCACTTCTGCTATTTCTGTGGCCAGCCTAGAGCAGCTTGGATGGATCAGCCCCTATCACATACAATGTGCTTCAACTCTTCCTCCCAAATCAGGGGGGGGAAGACTCTTCCAGGAAAAATGCCCCCCGGCACCCAGATGCTCTCTCTCTTGACTGCCCTGCCATAGTGCCCCCCTGATTGGACAATAAATTCTGCCCAGCACATAAATATGAGGCTACAGCCAGATAAACAGACAGTGTTATTGTGTAGCAGCTGATCTACACTCTGACTGGAGCCGGAGGCTGACAGAAACAACATGGATGCCTTGTTTCAGCCCTGCCTGCTTAAAGTACTGGATTACCCTCACAATCAGGAGCCCAATTATCTATGACGAAAAGTAAAACCAATCTAATTGCTTTCTGTATACTCCCCTATGGCATTATGCCAGGAGCAGCCCAGAAACACTGTAGAGAGGTAGTATAACAGTAGCGGTTATGCAATGTACCACGCAGAGGAGGTAGCTGGAGGAAAACAACTGCTGTTCCAACAGTGGCCAACAGGGGGGGGGCAAGGGTCCAACAGAAGATCCTATACCGACAGTGGGCTATTTATAGAACCATTGAATGAGAGAATGTTTATTTTTAGAGCTGCGTAGGTTTCTGTCATGCTAGGGTTAGTGGTAGCTGCAGGGAGTTACTGCATCACAGTCCTGGTGACAACCCGTCCTTAGCTGACGCAGGGACGTCCACAAACACCAATACGCCACACGTTTAAACGTCATATGGAGGACGACACGTGTCACCCAGTAGTTTGGTTAAGTACAACATTAAAATCCATTTACACTTGATTACTCTCCATTCTGGTGCTCACAGTGAAAGCTCTGTTATTATAACTGTCATATGGACCGCCACTATCTATGTGGCCTTTCCTTCAAATATATCTACAATTCAGAAACTGCACCATCTTAGAGCCTCATACAAATCCTGTTAGCCAACATGGTAAAATAGCGGTGACTATCTGAAGACCTGCATACCCAGCTTGAGTGCTGTATTACCCAGGGCACAGTGACTATTCTGTAGCAATCGACATAATGACACTGCTGCACTGACAGAGCTGTGCTCCCTTTCAAACTGTTTTTTGGCAACACTGAGCGATTTCATCCTTCATATAAAAAGCCTGACACAGGGTCCTGCTGTGTTAAATAAATTAAATAAATACAATTTAAAAAACAGGACAGCTAATCTTGACGGCGGGCTTACAGAGCAAACATTCTATTTAGATCATATTATGAAGTAGATCTTGACAGTCAAATGAATGATAAGACCACACGGTTAAGATATGAACGTGTTTAGGTTGTGTGACATCCACCAGAAGATTAGCATCACTACCGACTGAGCTAATAATGAAGATGCTAAAAGGTAAAGCCTACAGACATCTGTTAGGTGAGCGCAGGTGTGGTACACCCCCTTGTGGCCAGCTGAGAGAAGACAGTTATGCCTGTCTAGTCCAGTCAGCCCAGATACAGCACCAGGTAATGTCTTGTTTTCTCACTCTGCCCTGATATTTGGACCAATGAGAAGGCCCTGCTAGCTGCAGTACAACAACTGTCTTATTAAAGCCATATCAACCTAATGATGTAATTGCTTTAGTAACACACCTTTGCTGCCATTTGATGCCTGGAATCAAACTAGCTCCACTTCCATTTTAACAAGTTCTCTTATCCACTCTCTCTCCTTATTTTATCATGTAACCTAGCATTAAGGTTTGCCGACCTCATTCTTCCTAGAAATCAGAAAACTATTTTGCCTGAGCATAAACTGCATTACTGTCAACGTCAGTGGCCAAGTCACCTGACGGTGCTAGTGGTACATCAAAATGGAGTTTGTACATATTTCCATCTGTTTAACTGCCAGCACCCAGACTACATAGCGTATGTGTGTGTGTGTGTGTGTGTGTGTGAGTTTGTGTGTGTGTGTGTGTGTGAGAGTGAGTGTGTGTGTGAGAGAGTGAATGAGTGAGAAATCCAGACAGACAGATAAGCTTGATGGACTGCCTGCTATGCTCTAGTGTGCGGAGGCATTTCTACCTGCCTGTCAGTCAGTCAGTCTCTCCAGGAAAAAGCAGCGTTGCACCCCTGGTTCCTGGTGATGGAAGCGGCCTCCCACTTACAAACTTAAACAAGAGCTGCAGTTGAGGGCTTGGAGCACTCTACATGCAAATGCCCGCAGTAGGGGGCAACCCTAGCGGTAGGTGGCGGTGGGCGTGGTGGATGTGGGCATCACTGCCAGGTAGTTGGAGGGCACGTAACCCCTCTGCCCCCGCACCTCCACCAGGCTCCAGTCACAGCTACCCTTCTTGTCATGGGGTTCCAGGACTCTGATTGGTTCCCCCGCCCTCAGAGAGACCTCGTGACTGCTCCTCGCCCTGAAGTCATAGCCTGCAAACACCTGCAACGACACCGCAGAGGTCAGAGAACAGACAGAGCAAACAAGGCTTTATTAATGAGCATGATGCCCTAGAGATTGATTGTATTTAGCTTGGTGGTCTGATCAATGGCATTAGAAAACACAGCTCACCTCTGGACAACATAACTTGAGAAAGTTGGCTATCAGCAGGGCATGTAAGTGCAGCTTAATGGCGCCGCCATGTGGCCTGTGATGGTAGTGGACTACTAATCACCAACAGTCTCCTCCAGGGTTGGGCTCAATTCAGAATTCGAATTGGTCACACCACACAGGATGTAGAATTTGTATTTAAACAGAGAGGATGAGGCGAAGTGAGAGGTTTTATGAAAATAAGCAGAAATAAGCTAATGAGGAATTTCTTTATGGAGGTGTCGGAATGTTATTGCTAATTTGCTACGTGTGAGGCTTACTTGATCAAAAATAAGTTTAACAATGGTTAGGTTGTTACGAATGCATGGATATAAGTGGACGCACATGGGATTTCGGCACCATATATAGATTTTTTGACTATATCTGAGTTGTGCCTGTTGTCAGAGATAGAGGACTCATCACGGCTATAATGTGTTTTAGCATGGACATTGTCGTTGAGGGATTCCTATTGTTGGGAGCAAATCAGCCAATGAAGAATACAATGTACTACTTTAAAACTGAGATAGCCTCACTGGCGTTGCCATGCCATCACAGACGCGATAATGACACAGATACAAAGGTGAGTCATCCATCTCTATGGCCTGTTGTTCACACACGTAACTGCCCTCTCACTGGCTAGAATGGTCCAGCCTGATCTTGCATCCTCCTGCCTGCCTTCCATCTTTGAAGACATGTATTTCTATTGGTAGAGCGGTCACTTGACTATCTTGTCAATATAATAGACAATCTTTGATTTGAGTTTGAGTGACAGGAAGTATAATTTAATTCAGTGCAATTCAAAGAAATTCCACTCAGTCATAGAAGATGAGTTTCATTGATTCCGACAGGTCACACTTCCAGATACCAAAGAATATATCACTTTTCTATAAATAAATAAAAAGAAAGTAGATGCTTTTTCCACTTGGAACCTGTAGGTTCGCTCGACCTTATTCATGGTTTCCTCACATGTAAAGGTGGTGGAATTATTACGGCATTTATTCAAGGTCAGAATACAGCGTATCTGTAGACACACCTCCGCCAAAACTTCATTTCTTAGATCTCCACCCCAAATGAATAGCGGTGAATAGCATGATGTTGTCATGCTTAGGTTCAAGGTCAGAATATGAGTAGAAGATGGCATAAAACTGGAATTACGTTCCATTTACGCACGCTTCACTCAGGTCGGAATTCCCCCATTACTCTTTTAACCTTAGTGCTTAGAATAGCCAATAATATTTTCTCAACAAACAATGCAGTTATATTAGACCCTAAGTTATACACAGAGTATACCAAACACTAGGAACATCTTCCTAATATTGACTTGCACTCCCTTTTGCCCTCATAACAGCCTAAATTCTTCAGGGCATGGACTCTACAAGGTGTCGAAAGCGTTCCACAGGGATACTGGCCCATGTTGACTCCAATGCTTCCCACAGTTGTGTCAAATTGGCTGGATGTCCTTTGGGTGTTGGACCATTCTTGATACACACAGGAAACTGTTGTGCGTGAAAAACCCAGCAGCGTTGCAGTTCTTGACACACAAACCGGTGCGCCTGGCACCTACTACCATACCCTGTTCAAAGGCTCTTAAATCTTTTGTCTTGCCCATTCACCCTCTGAATGGCACACATACCCAAACCATGTCTCAATTGTCTCAAGGCTTAAAAATCTTTTTTTTTTTACCTGTCTCTTCATCTAGACTGATTGAAGTGGATTTAACAGGTGACATCAATAAGGGATCATAGCTTTCAACTGGATTCACCTGGTCAGTCTGTCATGAAAAGAGCAGGTGTTCCTAATGTTTTGTACACTCAGTGTATATTTGTATAGACTACACCTAATATAGAAGAGGCATTTGAATTTCATAGAATTTTACTGAATTCAATTATATTTCCTTTCATTCAAATTGTAATTCTGTGTCCTGTTTACTGCTTCAATTCAAATTCAATACAAATGTAAGCATTCAATTGGAATTCTGAATTGAGCCCAACCCTGGTCTCCTCTGCTCTGACACATACTCAGCCATGGCAAGGACGTTGGACAGAAAGAACAGACTAAAATGGACCACCCAAGTTGAAGAATCAAAGCCTTAGCAGGATGATTAGTGATCATACTGCCAGCGGTGCATGAAGAGGGCTGGCTTGAAGAGTATGATAAATGCCTCCCAAAGGTCACAAGGAGAATCACTCACTTTAACAACCAGGAGAGGTGTATTTCGACAGCTCAGCCACAGACAGACCGAACCCAGATACAATTATGTGCCTCAACACTTCCTCCACGTGCATGTGTGCGTGCGTGTGTGTGTGAGAGAGAGACTCCAACAATGTATGATGATGTTTGAAGGACTAAAACAAATAAATGGATAAAGCACTCAGGAGAAGGTTTGGGGCGCTCTGCATTTCAACACTGCTGACAAGGGCAAGCAGCTCATTTGCCCCCCCCCGAACAGAGTGTCACTGACCTGGAAGCAGTGAACGGACATAGCCCTCACGAGCTGGGGCTGGGGTGTATCAGGGGTGTAGGAGAGTCGCCTGATGTCAGGGTGGTAGGAGTGTCTTCTGACCCCCCCAGCGCAATCCATGGTAGTGACTGTCAGATGAGGGGACGGGGGAGGGTCCATGGTTACCTGGTGGTAACGCACCAACTTGGAGGAGGGGACGTATCCTCTTGGACCTGGACACAGGGGGATTGGTGTAGATGATTGGAAGACATGAATTCATAAGTAATTATAATCTGATGAGATGTACCATATATAAACCACATGTTATCCTATAATTAATCAAATCTATTTGGATTGATAGATCTCACCGTCTTAGATTTTTTTAAAGGTAACCAGGCAGCAGTAACAGTAAACAACCATTAGATGTCTCCACTTTAACTGGTGGTGGCTGAAGCGGCATTCTACTCATTTTAGTTTGGTATTCACTGCTACATTGACAGACCAAAGGACTGACTTTCCTTTTAGAAAGTAAAGCCGTTTGCTATTTTAAAGATAAGCCCCTCTTGTGAAAAGGCAAGATGTTTTGGCGGTCTTACCCCCAGCGTCGACCAGCCAGCGTCGTTTGTCCCCCCGTGTGTCCATCTCACTGATGATGGCCACCAGCTCTCCTCTGTTCAGGCTCAGGTCCAGGTCTCTGGTCCCCACCACATGACCTGTCAGCTGGTAGATCTTCCCTGAGCCGTGCTTGTCTGTCAGGACCTTCAGACGATTCTGGGAGCCAGGGCTGAGAGGCTGGGAGGACAGCGTTGTGTACATTACACACCAAATGACTGAAATAGGGAGGGATGACCTGCATTTGTTCAATAAGAAATGTCAATGTTTTACTTTCAGTTGCAAAAGGTTATTAAACGTTTTGCTACGGTGTGCCCTAATTAACACGACCCTGGTAGAGTTATTGGAACCGATAGGGAACCATCAGGAACATAGTAGAGCAATGGCTTTGACAGCTAGTCATTCGCCATGTTCATCATCACTGGTGTTCACCTGCTTAGCTTCCACCCAGGGTGACTTCTAGAGTTTAAATGGCTTCACTATGTCATCTAAGAGTAGCTAATGAAGCGATCCTGTTTCTTTCTAGTACTGTAGATGTTTCTCTCTAGCCACAGATGAGCTGCCCATCCTCCCTAGTGCTGTCATGTATTCCTGTAGACCTGACAGGCTGAGTCTCATTACTATCATATAGCTACCCTCTCTGGTAATGTCCCAAATGGCACCCTATTCCCTATATAGTGCACTACTTCTGAGCAGGGCTGGTGAACTATATAGGGAATAGGGTGCCATTTGGGATGCTGTTCATCGGTTCTGTGAGGCCTACAGCCAGGAGAGCTGCTCCTGCACACTGCAGACAGACAGACATAAAGTACAGCTTATAACATGGACTGTGAGATGTCTAGATTAGTCTGGAAGATTAAACTACACCATCTCTCTCCCCTCTCCTCTCGGCAGCTTCACATTCTCATCAGTTAAAGTAATGAGTAGTGGTGTGGTGATGATAGGAGCCATGAGGTGGCTAGAGTAAGGTTATTGCTGTATTATGACCAAGCAAAATGAATGGTGGTTTCTGTTCCGACTTGGGGAAAAAGGTAATGGAATTTCCAGTATTTATTACAGGAAATACAGGTTCGTGTTGTGACATGACGTGTTCTAGTGTGTTAGTTTTGACAAAAGGCTTGTGTTTAGTTACAGTACCTTCAGGCGACCACCTTTCTCAGAACCCTCAACAGGTAACACCACAACCCCAAGGCTTGTAGAAATAGCTATCATGATCCAATTCAGGTTATTACAAACACATAATGCGGCATAATAACATTGACAGTATGAATCATCCTGCTGCTATTTGACAACAAGTCCTGTGGGGCTGTAGATGTGTACACACACTGTCCCTGGCAATGTTACCCGACAAGTCCCATCGCCACCAAACAACAGATTATAGTGCAGCTTCTGCTGAGACTGACCTGGACAATGGAATCATTGAGTTGGTCCTTCACATTCCAACACAGACTCTCCAGCCTCCTCGCACCCTCCAGCACCGAACACTCCGCCCACTCCCAGAATGCATTAGGCTCCAGGGAACCGGGAGGGAGCTGCAAAAAGACATGTTAAACAAAATAAGATGAGAAAAATAGTCAAGCTCAACTGCATCTCTGCTTTAGGTATAGCTCCCATAAAATCTCATTCTAAATGTAGTAACAAATACATGAGCAACCTGCTACTTAGCTAATGTAGCCTTTTGGATCATAGAGAAAATAGGCATTTGTCTGTATCCACACAACAAACATGCTAGTCATCCCCTCAACTCCAGTACTGTATTATTGTGTACCTGTTGGGTGAATCCCTGGAAGAGCTGCTCCATGTCTGCAGCCAGGTCCTTGTGCAGGCAGCTGAAGGCCCCCAGCATGCCCCAGAGCAGGGTTGAGGGCCAGGCCGTTGAACTGGGGCAGCTCGTTGAGGAGCAGGGTGTTGATGGTCTTATAGGTGTTAGCCACCGCCTGCTCATCGTAGCTCAGACTGGGCTTCTCTTCGATCAGCTCGTAGTCTAGCAGCTTGTCCAGACGCTTACTGATCAGGTTATGAGGCCCCGCCAGGAGCTCTTTTAGGGCACAGAGAGGCTTGTGGACCAAAGTCCTCATCCTCTTCTCCTGGAGAGAGAGAGGGGGGGGATTGGGATAGAGGAATGAGTGGGGGAGGGGGGAGGGGAGATAAAAGTGTGAGGCACAGACAGTGTAATCTGAAACGTGAAGGACGGGGCTGACAAGAGGGAAAGTGAAACACGTCCATATGCATAATTCTTTTTTTCTGATGCCTATTTTTATAACATAACAAAATGGTACTGTAGCTTAACTTACAAATGTAGGAAGTATCCATTGTCTCAGTGCTGTTGTGATTTCCTTGTAGCATATAACAGGCTTCTCACCGTCCATGTCAAGATCAAACTCCTCCGGTCGATAGCTGAGAAACCTCTGGAATATAACGATGGAAGGAAAGTTTCAACATGAACTAGAATTAGACACGGGGAAACGTAAACCCAAATCTGTGTGGCAGTGGTCAGTAATGCATGGTTTATGAGCGACAGTGCTGGCCTGTGGTTGTTGGCAGTAGGGAGGGACTGCATTCACATATTAGGTGGGGCAATGAGTAGCAGGCTGAATACTTTAAACTGATTTTCTTACAGTTACATTGCCTCTAAATTGTCAACTGCTCACCACTGGAAAAAGAAAATCCATCAGATCAGAGCTGTAGCCCATTATTTAGTGAGAAGAGGATGCCAAGCCAGAAGTGAATGCTAAGGGATTGTGCACTAATTATATGTTGAGTGGAAAGCCACACATAAACAAAGTGATTCCAGTGTTGTCATGGTGATCTTACTCTGGTCTCCATAGCAAAAGGCTAGGGTCAACAAAAGCTCACCTGTAGATGGTCTAGATATGTCTCCACATTTTCATGTAGCACGGTGATACCATTTTCAAGGAGATAGAAAAAGCCCTCCAAGGCATCAAACTCCTCATCTACCAGCTGGAATTGAACAGAGGGAAGTTATTAAAGGGATATTTGGGGAGTTTGGCAACGAGGCCATTTATCTACTTCCCCAGAGTCAGATGAACTCATGGATACCATTTGTATGTCTCTGTGTCCAGTAGGAAGGAAGTTAGAGGTAGTTTCGGGAGCCAATGTTAACTAGCGTTAGCGCAATGACTGGAAGTCTATCGGTATCTGTTAGCATGGTAGTTAGCATTGGCTCTAGAAACTACCTCTAACTTCCTTCATACTGGATACACAGACAACAATAGTATCTACAATTAATCTGAATATGGGGAAGTAGATAAGGGGCCTCATTGCCAAACTCCCAAAGTATCCCTTTAACAGCAAATTCAACAAATCTTTACAGAGATTAAAATAAGAACATTCTAGTAGTTCTACCATCCATTGCTAAAAAGAGACCCAGAGCTTCAGTTTGTGACTTGATGAATAATATGTCTAAAAATGTCCACAAGGGAATACTCATAACCATGTGAGATTCCTCCACAATAGCATGAGTCATTGTATTCAACGACTCTCTACATACTTTATCTAACAAATGCTCCTCAGAGGTGTGAAGCAAGGTTTGAATACAGCAGGTAAACACTAGTCATATCATTTGTTCTCTCACCTCAGTTTCCATTCCCTGTAGAAAGTGTAGCTTCATTTTATGGCTGAGTGATCTTAACAAGGACAGGCACAGACAGAACCTTACCTTTGGTGCAATCCCCGTCTCATGTTTGATGAACTGACTCAGTCTGGCAGTCTTCTTTGCGATGCTGTGGCTGTTCAGTCGATTCATCTTATCCCTTATCGTCAGGGTCTCCGTCTTCTTGTATTTGTCGGCTGTGACGACAAGACAACAAATTCTAATATGGGTGTTCAGGAATAAGTGAAGGCAAGGTCCCCAATCTATCAATTCCTCATCCCTGTCTGAACACTAGAACCAATCACAGGGAATGATTACTAGATGGTGATAGCTAGCTCATGTTCTCACCGACTTCCCTGAAGCGTTTGTACTCGTTGATCCTGCAGTTGAGGGCTATGGCGGTGTGGGCAGTCTGCTCCAGGAGAGAGTAGGCTGGGTGCCCAGGCTCTGTGTGTTTCATGACGGTCTGGAAGAGAAGAGGGTAGCGGGCGATCCTCTGGACTGGCATCACCAGGAAGAAGCTCAGAGAGGCAGCATTCACCTCTGGCCTGTACACAACAGTCTCACTTTGTCATACTTCCTGGACTTGTAGTGAGAAAACTGTACATGGAAGTTCATAACACAATAGAGATGGGGTGTGATATCAAGGCCAGTTTTAGTAGTGGATCTCAATGAGACATTAGAGACAAACAATGGTAGGAACAGGAATGCAGAGAGGGAGATATGAACATACGCTGAGGACTTGATGACTTTCACTATCTCAGTCCACAGGGCTTCTTTCTGCTTGTAGCTGTTCTCTAGCGCTGTGACGTTGTTGTAGTTGGCCAGGTACTCCTTGTACGCCGACTCTATGTCTGTTGATAGACTGAGGAAGGCCTCACCTGAAGGGAATATGAATCAAGTATTCATGATGTGATATAAATGTACATGTATGCCTCCCGTGTTGTCCTTTATCCGTCCCATGGAACGTTGCTAAGGTGATACAACTGACTATATAAAGGCGTTTCATTTTGTTGCTGTTATGTACTGAATATCTTTTTCAGAGTCTCTCTAGTCATTCTTGCAGGTTTGATCTCTGCAGGACAGATCAATGTTTGAACACCTAGCAGTCCAGGTGCTGAGCAAGGTCAACTAAATAATGGAGACACCTAGCAGAAACATCTAGCAGTCCAGGTGTTGAGCAAGGTCAACTAAATCATGGAAACAACTAGCAGTCCAGGTGCTGAGCAAGGTCAACTAAATCATGGAAACACCTAGCAGTCCAGGTGCTGAGCAAGGTCAACTAAATCATGGAAACACCTAGCAGTCCAGGTGCTGAGCAAGGTCAACTTAATAATGGAGACACCTAGCAGAAACACCTAGCAGTCCAGGTGCTGAGCAAGGTCAACTAAATCATGGAAACACCTAGCAGTCCAGGTGCTGAGCAAGGTCAACTAAATAATGGAGACACCTAGCAGTCCAGGTGCTGAGCAAGGTCAACTAAATAATGGAAAAAATGAACTTGGCACTGTTGTTTGCTCCACAATGAAATATAGCAGGGCTAACATGGTTGCCACAGAGAGGGAGTTTTAGTTTTTCATTATCTAGCTGACCCATCCAAGCAGCTTGACTGCAAAGGGGGACTGTATGTGTAAGTGTTGTCTAACACCATGGTGGGAAATGTGCTCATAGGACTTTAATACACACAGCCATGTAGAACACATCATGACAAGCAGCTGGTATCAATAGCCCTGTGAAACAGAGGGGGTGGACATGAGCCTATTCATGATAGCCCCCGTAGGATTAGCAGGTGTGGTAGTGCAGGTGTGAATATATATTAGTAGCTACCTGGGAGTGAGAATCACAAGGTGTGATGGTGTATATGGGAGGTGTGAATAGCCCAGCCAAGGGAACTGTCCTGATACAGCATTGCAATATTCTTACTACTTACATAGAGTCTCCAGGAAGAGAGGATCATGGGGCGTCAATTGCTTCTGGTCCAGGAGGCTGAGGAGGCGGCCTGACACGTCGATCACCTCCTCTATGTACAGGAACATGCTGTCCAGGTTAGTCAGCTGAGGCTGTGGTGGAGGAGAAGGTATAGACTGACTTAAATGCTCAACAAAGGGCATCAGTCACCTACCACTAAACTATCCCCTCCTCCTCTCTTTCCTCTCTCCCACATACAATTACATTAGCCCCTCCATCATTACCACTGGCTGATGCATAGACAGGCCTGTCTTCCACCCCATAAAATGGGATTCCATCCTGTTTTTACGAGACACCCGTTTTCAGCGTGGCCTTGTAATCAAAGACATTCGATTATATGGTCATTGAAAAACCTTCAGAGACGTGAAAGGAAATAAAGCATGGTGCTTCAAGATAACCATTCCTTAGAGAGGAAGACCCAGTAGGGCCCAGAGTTTTCCCATGTTCAGGAAACCCTCCTAGCCCTATGCAGCGGTGCAGTACAGTACCTGGTGTTTCTGCAGGTTGCTCCTGATGGTGCAGGTGCAGACCTGGAGGAGTCTCAGGTAGTTCCTCTCTGTGTAGACCAGCTCCTCTGTGGCCAGGAGCTGCCTCTGAGCCTCTCTCTCAGCCCTCTCCTCGGCCGCAGCCTCTTCAGCCACAGCCTTCTCTGATGCATCCTCTGCTGGCTCCTCCACAAACACTGACACCTCTGATAGAGAGAGATATATAGGGTCCTCCTCTGTGTCCGCTGTCTCACCCTCCTCCACTGTTCCCTCTTTCTCCTCCATTCTCACCTCTTGGGCCTCAGCTCTGGGACTTGGAGAAGGAGTATGGTTTCGGGGAGCTGGGGTTGGGGGAGCTGACTCTGCCGTCAAGGGGCTCTCCATGCTGGGTCTGTCTGTTGGAGAAAAAGGGGGTTAGCTCCATGTGAGCCTGATGTCTATATCCCACCCAGCAGTAGCAGCCCGTGGCAGGGTTATTATAGTGGGGTTGAATGGCTTATAGGTGACATGAGGAGACACCATGTGTTCAAACGAGATGGTCCTACTCTTAAAAAGCTGTTGCCGCTGAAGCTATTTAACTTTTTAGCAGATTTCAATCAAATGTAATAATGTTTAGCTGTTTAAAATGCAGATGCTGTGTTTGACTCATTATGCCATAGGAATAGTGACTAAAAACATGTGGAGGGACAGTCACCGGCAGTGACTTCAGCATTAATTGTACTTTTAAGTGTGGCTTGGCTGTGATTTACAACTGAACAAAAGTTACCAAAACAAAGTTATCTGTATCTAATGAGTCATAATAAACATGTAAATTAATGAGGTGGATAAAAAGGACAACACCATAACAACCCAGGTCTCTGGATGACTAGTTTAAAAATCAAATTAAAAAGAATAGTAGCACCGAGCAACAACAACTTCACCTCAGGCTGAAAATAGAAGGTTCTCAGTGAGTGACAGCAGAAAACATTAAAGCACATCAATACCTTGAGTAGAGGACTGGGATCAGACGCTGCTCAGCTTGTGGGCCAGTGGAGTGTGCTGCTACTACTGATGCAGTCGAGTGCCTGGCCAACACACAGAAAGACTGATGTAACTTTTTCCACTCACTCACTAAGAGCTAGGCTTCATGTGGCATGGGTGTGTGAGTGGAGGCTTGTGGGGGGATGGGAGGGTCAGCTGGGCTGTTTGTTAGGGGGAAAGGGTGGAGGCAGGGAGGAGGTGATAGGCTATAGCAGTGTGGAGGCCAGAGAAGGCACAGCCTCTCTCTGTCCTGAATCTGCTGATTGAATGCAGCAGCCTGTAAAAAGGAAGTGATGCCTGCTCAGGCAGAAGCTCGTTGGCTGGCCCCGATTTAAAAAAACAGGCTGGCCCGCCAGTGGAGACACAGCACCACGCTGACTGATGTTTTCTCACAGGAAACAAAAGCTCCAAGGGAATTCAATGGCAATTGCCGCCCAGGTAATTGTAATGATTTTCCATGGGTAATAATTTAGACGTGTCCTTTGTGTGGATGTCTCAGCACAAGACAACAAAATCATATGGAGTTTACAGTAAAATGTTTATCTTGAGGGTAATGGAATTTGTCAGATACTTACAGAGGAACAAATCAACTAACTGACACATATTTCAGGGGCAACAAGGAACAAATAAGTATTGAGGATACTACTTTTTAACTGGTTGATACCGTAGGAATGTGAAACATTCAGACGTGATATCTGAGTTGATGACATTGGAATTGGGCTAAGGAATGCTGCAGAACTGGATTCATTACCAGCTGAGTCATCATTATGATGACATGTCGTTTTAAATAAAAAACGATATCTGTGACAATAATTGTTTTTTTTTACTTGAGTATTTCATTTCACAAAATGGTCTACTGTTCACAAAACATTTAACAACAAGCAACATAAATAACTTACTCTTTCCATACAGAGGGGTGGACACTTGGATTCCAGGGATAGCAGGAAACTGCATGGCGGATGGGTGGAATCTAATGACTGGGGGATAAAAATATGTTTCAGACTAGTAAACATCCTCCACTCTTCACATCATAATTATCTTCCTTTCTTACTGTAGGTCATGGCCCAGTTCAACGTACAGTAGAATATTGTAGTAGTACGGTGGGCCTACTACTAGCCTACTAACTCTACAGATTGTACTAGATGTAGTACAGTAGTAGCCTGTAGCAGTATAATTATTACAGCAGTAGACTGGCTCTAATAAATTCACAATTTATTTTACAAAAGTGTACATAGATCAGTGATAGATTGGAAACATGGTATGATGTTTCATTACAACACAGTGCAATAAGTAATAGCCTAGTTCGATACTTAGTCACATTAAATATAGATCAGAGAAACAGACCTTTGGCTTTGAAGCAACAGCAGCTTCTCCTCGAGCACAAGATGTGGTGCTCCAACTACAAGGTCAGTGCGCAAACAGAGAACTCAAAGTTTCCCTTATCCAAGGGGATGAAAGAATATTTTAATAATAAAAAAATTACAATATTTAATAGAGATCACATAGCTTTATAGAGTGTAGATGTTAGTCTCCTGAGGCGGCACTGTCACTAAACACACGCGCACCTTGACGTCTTGTTGTTCTTCTTCAAATCCTCAATCACATGTCCCTTTTCTAAGAACAGGTTGGCCAGTCCAGGCTGACGTCACGTCAGTGCAACGCATAGTTTACAGTAAATGTTTATCTTGAGGGTAATGGAATTTGTCAGATATTCACAGAGGAACAGTTCAACTAACTGACACAAATATTTCAGGGGCAACAAGGAATACATAAGTATTGAGGATACTACTTTTGAACTAGTTGATTCCGTACGAATGTGAAACATTCAGACATGAAGTCTGAGTTGATAACATTGGAATTCGGCTAAGAAGGAATGCTACAGAACTGGATTCATTACCAGTTGAGTCATCATTATGATGACTTGTAGTTTTTCATTTTAAAAAACTATATCCGTGACAATAACTAATTTTTTACTTGAGTATTTCATTTCACAAAATTGTCTACTGTTCACAAAACATTTTACAACAGGCCACATAAATAACTTGCTATTTCCATACACAGGGCTGGACACTTCTATTCCAGGGATAGCAGGATACTGCATGGCCGATTGGTGGGTCCTAATGACTGGGGGATAAAAATATGTTTCAGACTAGTAAACATCCTCCACTCGTCACATCATAATTATCTTCTTGTTGTACTTCTTTGAACCCTCAATTACATGTCCCTTTTCTAAGAACAGGTTCGCCAGTCTAATCTGGCGTCACCTCAGTGCAGTGCATAGTAGACTATTGTTTTTCTTTTTTAGATGTCGGGTCAGTAACTTTTCCAATGTATTGATTTCGCCTGGTAAATAAAGTTGAAACTTGACCTAATCTATATGTGCCCCAATTTCAGTAGGTTGATGGCAGAAGCCTGTACTATGCGGACATCTAGTGGTAATTTCTTCCCTGCTAAAAAATGTCCTTGGCCTAAAAAATAAGATTCCAAAATGATCTGAACCCTAGGGGTGGAGCCCTTTTACTAACCTACGGCCTGTACACTAGGAAGCGGCATCGCGTGGTAAAACATCGGGAGCCATTTGGTGTGTTCGACATTGCAGCCAACAGTGCAGGCGACTGCAGACTGACTGATCTACAAAAAACCTGGCATCATGAATTATCATAAACTACTCATTATTATTTGTAGATCAGTCAGTCACAATTCACCCGTTATACATTACGGGTTTGATAATCTCGAACAGGGCCTTACACTATGGAGCCAGATAGCTGCCAAAGGGTTGAATGTACATATCGTTAGTATCATAAGAAAATCCATATGTAAATTGTTATCATCTTAAGAAAAGCCATGCGTGAAACATTAAACGTAACCATTAGATTAGATCTGTAAATGTACAAACCCTATGTTTAAATACTTTTTTTTAGGGGGTAGATCAGCTTTAATATTGCAGATAGATTGTAACTTCCATCAATGTAATTGTCTGCATCACTTCCAATCCCCCATATGTTTTTTTTTCTTCTCGCAAATAAATATATATATACACATAAACATTTCTTAAAAATATATATATTTCCCTTTATTACTTTCCAACCCCACCACCCCTTCCCTAATTGGAGTAAAGTAGTGAACAACAATGCTTTAGGCCTCTACTTCCAGCTTATACATACTATATACATTTTATGGACACAGTCAATTTTTACAAGAATTCTGTTTTGTTTGTTTTTACTCCTGAACTTCCTCTACCCTCAACCTCTCCGATCTACATGTTCAATTTTTACTTTACATCTCCCTTTACAGATATTTTTTATACATACAAACTTTTGTCAGGAATGTGGCATCTGCAAAGGACATGAACCGAACGTAGCTAGTCAATCAAGCAACTCTAGCCCAGACGTTAGAGTTGCTTTGCAGCTTCCGGTTTCATTTCCAAAATAAAAGTCTAGAGCTTGTTTTAGAACGGCATTCGATAATGACGTTATACCAGTAGATGCGTAGTATAGGCTTGGGCCTTCAGCAAATTATTTGTGTGATAATTATACTATAAAGAGAGAGTCTAGAATAACCTCCTGAGCTGCAAAATAGAAAGTAAATATGATTTAGGCTAGGCCTATCACACTATCTAAATATGCCATGTTATTTAATGACCATATAATTGCATAATTTATCTTTATAGCCGCGTGGGACTACTGTGGTGATCATGTAACCTAATGAATCACACTTTTTCCAGTATTTGGGAACACGGACTGTAGGCCTTATATTAGGCATTTTGACTGTTGTATTTGCGAATTCCACTCTGTGTGTAGGCTTGTTATAGCCATTTCCGTTGCACAACCCCATCACGCAGAGGCTATATCCATATCAAGAAATGAGACAAAACAAAATATTGATTAAGTCTTGGCTATAACCTGTCCTGAGCTACAGTGCCTTGCAAAAGTATTCATCCCCCTTTTTTTATTTGGATTTCATGTAATGGACATACACAAAATAGTCCAAATTGGTGAAGTGAAATGAAAAAAATTACTTGTTTCAAAAAATTCAATAACGGAAAAGTGGTGCGTGTATATGTATTCACCCTCTTTGCTATGAAGCCCCTAAATAAGATCTGGTGCAACCAATTACCTTCAGAAGTCACATAATTAGTTAAATAAAGTCCACCTGTGTGCAATCTAAGTGTTACATGATCTCAGTATATATACACCTGTTCTGAAAGGCCCCAGAGTCTGCAACACCACTAAGCAAGGGGCACCACCAAGCAAGCAGCACCACGAAGACCAAGGAGCTCTCCAAACAGGTCAGGGACAAAGTTGTGGAGAAGTACAGATCAGGGTTGCGTTCTAAAAAAATATCAGAAACTTTGAACATCCCAC